CACGCATGCCAGGCCAACGCATCCCCTAAAGCCCAAGTTCTTTTGCATCAAAATCACCCGGAGGTGGTGGCTGGGTCCCGCCCTAGAGTCCCTGCTTTGGTGGGACTGAGTGGGGTTTGGAACTTAGTGTTCTGGCAGCTGCTGCTGCTGCTGCTGGTCCAGGGACCACACTTTGAGAACTACTGCCTCCCAACCATTTATGGCTCTCTGAGGTCATATCGTCCCTTAGGAATTACGGCCATGCTTGCAAACGATGACATTTCCATCAACAAGGGTCCACATATAGGATTTGGTCCCTGAGATGGTATCACCTCGTGACCTCATGTGTCGCTTTAGTTTGTGTACGTACTCCACGTTTGCACCACAAAATCGTGACACAGTCCTCGGAATGTGTCCCCATTGTTCTGTGACGAGTGACTGTACATAAAAGTAATCCTGTTCAGTGACATATCATGACACAATGGTAATGAGCTCTGATGGCCCAACATGAACCTCAGGGCCGATCTGACCAACACCCGTCGCACGTCAACTGAACCATGTGCCACCCGCCTGCCGTTCGCGCCTAGGTGCCATCCTGAGGGAGGCAGATGCCTCCTCTTTCCTCCCAGTGGCAGTGGCAGTCTGTGGCTGTGACCTTTTTATTGTCTGCTCAAAAATGTGGAGTCAAGGTGGAGGGATCTGAAGAGAGGGCCCTTATTCTGTTTCCTAGACAAACCAAAACAGAGCGGTGGAGATTAAAACCTCAAGCCTGTCTCTCTCCCCACCGCTCGCCCGGAGTCCTCTGCTAGCACTGTATTCACGTGGTGCCTAATTATTGACTTACCGTCCCACTTTCTCAAGGGCTTATGGGTTCCCCAAGGGCAGGATGTTCTTTGGTGTAAATTTAAAAAAAAAAAATTGTGTACTGAAGAGAGGCCGATGTTCCTAGCCCTGTGCAGTCTGTGCTGATAAACGGGGGATCACACCTGGTGGAGACGCTGCACGCACGTGTGAGGCTCAGGTGTGCACGGAGACTTCGCGGGTGCAGGGCTGGGGACCGGGGGCTGGGGGCTTGTTGGTGGGACTCCACTGTGTGCACATTCCAGTGAGGGTGTCGGTGAGCGTGTCCCCAGGCCTGCGGATCAAGCATGCGTTGGCACTCAGGTGTGCAGACCTTCCAAAGTCACCAGTGAGGGGCTGGGTGAGAGCCATGAGCCTAGAGCGTGGAGCCTGGGATCATCCCCAGGAGGGGGGGGAGCGGGAGAGAGAGGGGGAGAGAGAGAGGGAGAGAGAGAGGGAGAGAGAGGGGGAGAGGAATTCACCAGTGAGAATCCGTGACCACCAGTGGTGTTGGAGGCACTGGTGACACTCAGGTCACCCTGGGGACAGTGTGAAGGAGCTGCCCTGTCCCCTACCCGTGTGAGTGCAGGTGCTGGACTGGTGACACGCCCTGGTCTCCGTGGTTCTGCGTGACGCTGGCCCTGGATCTGCCTCCCTTTCAGGGTCTCCCTGCCCTTTGTGTCTCAGGCTCCTGGGACCCTCACGGGTGGGACTGTGGGTGACCGTGCCACACTTACGTGTCTCCCTGCAGGGCCAGGAGGCGGGGCTCTGTGGTGCTACCGTCAAGGAGGCTCTCTGGGAAGTGAGCAGCTGGAGATTAGATTTCACGGGGTCACGGGAGGAAATCGGGGAGAAGGACCCGGAGCCGGCGGGCGGGGGGGTCGGATCACTGTGAGGACAGTCACGAGGCTCCTGTTGATTGGGCACCTGCCGGGACCTACCCCTCACCTCATGTGTTTACATCCACTCCTTGTTGTTGTTCAGTATCCTACAACCCGTGTTTATATCATAGTAATAATCACAGGGTGTGCTCATGAGGTTTCATATGGGTACAGATCCCTTTACAGAGAGACCTTACTTTCTCTTATCCACTGAAGGGAGGAGTAAATCGATGCTCAGAGAGGTAAGTTCACCTGCCCACAGCCACTCAGCAAGCAGGTGGCAGAGTCAGAATCCCTAACCACTGCGCTACCCACCCTCAAGGCCGGGCTCACCCAGTGGCCTTGGAAGGCACAAAGTGTTGTTGTGTTGTGCTGTGGTGACGGCTGACGTCTGGAGACTAGATTCCATGGCTCTTATCTGTGCCAGCCTCCCCGCTAGGGGTCTTAATAGTGATGGCGATGGCCAATGCTCTGTGGTACTCGGCAAGAGCTGGGCCTCCTCCAAACACCGTGGCCTGGATCACCTCACTGACCCTGCACCAGCACCCTGCAGAAGACAGGATCCCTGCGCCCATGGGGCCTTGGGGGCGGGGCTGTGCACAGGGTTGTGCAGTTGCCAGGATGTGAGCCCAGGCCGTCTGGCTCCCTGGGCTTTTCTCTGAATTCACGGCCCCC